CCATTATTTGTGTAAATAGTGTCCAGTCACTTAAGTGTTTAATCTGTACAAGTCAACAACTCATTAATTTTGGTCTGAAAAGTCAGACTATACATGTATGATGTCCTTTTCTCAACAGTGTTTTAAATTCTATACCATTGACTAACTTAATTACACTGTCAATAGAATTACCTTATGTACCAGGGGGAGGATTTATAATGTTCTGTAACACAAAATGATAATGATGTCTCTAAGTGAACTATAGATATATGCCATAGATAAATGAGTGGATTTGCGGCTCATCCTTAAGTCTAGTTGTATTCTAAGAACAATTATTTCTTATGACATGGTCCTATTTGATACTCACCCTCATGAAAAGTTCACTGAAGTTATGAGTACTATAACAAAGTGTGGTGAAGAAACTAGATGGTGCCTGGCTATCAGGAACAATAGCATCTGGGGTCTTAAAGGTTGTCTTCAAACAAGCATCCATCTAAGTGTGGTGTCAACTAAGTCCACATAGAAGAAGCACAGCAGCCTGTGTGATCCAAAGATTGTAAATAATAAAAATCCAAACAGAAGGCGGGAACAGTACCAGAGCTTAAATTGTGAATTTGCAGAAGGCAATGGATGAGAGTGGAAGCCCCAAATCCATCTGTTAGTCCAGGTTGGCTAGAGAAACAAATTCAGAGACACTCATGTGTGTAAGAGAGTTTTATATCAAAGAGTAATTATATAGTAAGAAAACATTCCGGTCCTGACCAGATCAAGTCTATAAATCCAATATTAGTCCATGTGTCTGATACTAGTCTATAAATTCCTCTTCAGACTCAAACAAATGCAATGATGCCAAATGCAGGAAGATCACAGGCCTGTGGGTGGACAATATTGTGGGTCCGGTGGTGGTGAAAGCATCTCCAGGGCTCTGGCTGTCGTCAGTGTGGTTCCATGTGGCTTGTCATCAGGAATGCGAAGCAGAGAGAGTTCTCAGCATCCTCATGAGGCCACGCCCACAAGGAGGGATCAGGGGGAGCTGATCAAACTCCACCCACATGTTCTGACTGGCCTAGTTGGCAAAATAAACCCAACTACCACAGAGCCCTCAGTTGGATTAAGTCTCGGGTGAATGCACTCTGACCCTAGTCCAGGGATGTGAATAGTCTTGCTATCAGAGTATTGTAAAGTCGATTATGGCAGATGTAGTTATATTAAAATGTAACATCTTATTTGATTCCCCTTTTGGCCTATTTTAAAGTTGTTCAGTTTTTAATATTTTCTTTCTTTTTAAAAAATCATTTTATTGGGGCTCATACAACTCTTATCACAATCCACACATACATCAATTGTGTAAAGCACACTTATACACTCGTTGCCCTCATCATTCTCAATATTTTCTTTCTTTTAAATTGAGGCTTTCTTGTTTTGTCATTGTTGTTGGGTTTTTATTTGCTTCCTGTTTCTCTTTTGTATGGTTCTGCATATGAAATTTAGGATAAGTAAGTCTATAGAAACAATAGCTGGATTTATAATTATCTAAGGACATGGGAGGAGAGCCTGGTGGGAAATGAGGAGCTAACAAGAGTAGAAAATGTCCTGGAATTGATTGTGGTGATGATTGCACAAGTCTTAATATGATTGAATGGTTAAATTGCATGATGTGTGAACTATAGGCCAAAAAAGTTTAAAATAATTGTTTATGTCCTTGCTTTGTCCCCATTTTATAAAACTATCTCATTGCTCTCCACTTTTCCAAATTCTATTCATTCATCCAGGCTCAGCCAAATCTTTGTTTGTTTGTTTGTTTGTTTTTTAACATTTTATTAGGGGATCATACAACTGTTATCCCAATCCATACACACATCAATTGTGTAAAACGCATTTGTACATCGTTTCTCAAAACATTTTCTCTCCATTTAAACCCCCGACATTAGGTCCTCATTTTTCCCCTCC